AGAATTGGGATCTCTCGCATGCAAATATTTCAATTAAAGTGATTAACTATTAATCCCAACTGTTTTTTTAATTTTTTTACCAAAATTATTCCAGTGGGTTATATTACCTATGATATTTCGTCCATTTTTTAAAATATTTACAAATTTAGTTTTTTAGGATTTAAATAAACCTTTTGTTCATAAATTGCCCTCTCAATAGATATCATCTATTACATTTATTATTATATATGAAAATTTATTCATTCACAGTGAGAATTGATGGTCATTTTTGCAAATATTTACATTTAATGGAGATAATATTTTAATAATTAATTAAAAAATGCAGTAATTAATCGTTGCACTTATTCTTGCTTAATCTTCCATTGATTAACATGATAATAGTTTTTTTTTTATACAACATGTAAGGGTGCGAGTTTGAACTCATGACCTCGTAGTCAGAGATAGGTGTCTTAATCACTTGAGCTATGCTCGATTTGATATTAACATGATTATAGTTAAATCTATTTTAAATTATTTTTCTAAACATGTTCACTTTTAAAATGTGTACCAAATTACAACCAGTGATTCTAATCAGGTGCCTCTCACTATTAAATTTTAATATTGAATTTTGTTTTCTAAAATATCAGAGCATGTGGAATCTATCTTTCCTCCCATCACATTCAGTGATAGATCTATGTTTTTTTTTAATTATAAACAAATAGCTATAAATAGACATATATAATTTAGTTCTACATTTTATTCCTAATTTTTCCAGATTTATTTAAAATACAGTTTGATAGAGTATGTCATATTTTATTATACGAAGGTCTCTACCTAAAATGAAAAAACGAGCATAGCTCACAAATAATTGACATATATTTTCAACCAAGAGGTTGTGAGTTTAATCTCCCATTAACAATGGTAATTATAATTACAAGACAAATTTACTTTTTAAACGTGGAGACATTTTGATTGATCGAGGCTTTATTATAAAATAAATATTAGTTGAGAAATAATTGGTCAAGGCATGACAACATAAAAATTAGGTTAGATTAGAATATAGTTTGTTTTTCTTTCTTATCTATTTTTAATTTTAGTCTCTATATTCTAAGAATTTTAATTTTGGTCAACTTTTTACATTTTTATTTAGTTTTTCACATTTAATATTTTAATTTTAATTTTAATCCTTCAATTTCAATTAAACTATTTCTTTAACTTTTCATTAATCATATTCTCAAAATTTTTAGAAGATTTTAAAGCTATTTAAATTTGATGTAACTACAAGTTCCATAATTTATGTATAGTTTTATAATTGAACTAAAGTAGCTTAAAAGAAAGTTTTGGAGTAATTATTTTAAAAGTTAAAAATAAACCAAAATAGAAGTGAGCTTCCCCCCTTATCCCTCACCCTACCCTTTCATTTCCACTTAAGCTTCCCCGGTTTGGAGGATTAATTGATTGGATACCTTGGATAAATTATCTTTTTTTTTTTTTTGTATATAAGAGTTTCTGCTTTTTTTAAGTACTGAGCATTCGAATCCATGATCTTTTGACATAAATGAGTGTTTTAATCAATTGAGTCCTACTTAAATTGTCAATAAATAAAAAACGTAAAAAGTCTAATACTTTCGTCCCTAAAAATTTAGGAAATGTTTCGTAACAGAAAGTGACTGTAGAATATTTTATAATATATATAGAAGCAGACATGACATTAAAAACAAAACAAAAAAACAAAAGTTTGCGTAATATGTTTTATTAGAACCGTGGATTTTATCATAAAGAATAGATGAGAAGTTAATGGTTAAAAAATGAATAAAACTTTTCTTTTTATAATAATATCCATATTAATCTTTTAATAAATCTCTAAATTAATATCATTATATTTATATCAAGTTCTATAGGTTAACTAATAGTAATTACTATATTAATATTTACGCTATGCAAGCTAAAAAGGAATATCCAAAGTTTCTAGACACGCAATATAGGTAATGAGACCTCTGCATAAGAAGTGAGATTGATCTCGCTAACTCAAGTTGCAACTTTCACTATTATAAGTTCTATTTTTCTCCACATCCTCTCGAAAAATCTTATTATAACTTTATTATCATCAAAATATTTTTTGACGAGTGATTTAACTCTCCATTCTTTTTCTTATCATCAATTCTAAACGATATTTAGATGAATTATCTTATATTTAATTTGTTGGGGCTTTGACTATTTTTGTGAATAAAAGTAGTACACATATAAAAGCTATTGTTTATATTTTTAATTTTAACTTAATTATAATTTAATTTTATTATAACGTGAACAAATAATTGATAATTTTATTTGGGATCAGAATCATGTGCATGGATAATAAATATCAAGTTTGAATATTATTTTGTTACTTCTATCAACTTTGGTTTATTTTTAGTCCCTTTAATTTTGTTGATTATGTTCAGATTTATCCACGATGGCTACATGCCGCTTCATGCAGAGCTTATTGCGATCGGAGATGAAGTTTGGCCTGCTCTGAGATTAAATTTCTGTGAGGTGGTAGTGGAATCAGATTGTTTAAGAAGCAATTAATTTGTTGAATGGGAAGGAGGCTCACTGATTTGGAGCTGCTGTGTGGGTTCTGTAAATCCTTGGGTTATGGAGGCATCTTCTAAAACTCACCTCGATGCGGTTAAGGATCTCATATTGATAAACAAGGGACCTTGTTTATAATAGATATGAGTTATTCCTCTCATTGTCAATTAGTTTTGAGATGGAATCACATCAATATTAATATAGTATAAGAGCCCAACAAGCTCAAACGAGCATCTGATCAAGATCGATGAGTCAAAAGAGTCACCAAAAATCAATCCATTTTCTAGCCCAAGTGGCATCTGGTTCTTCTTTTTAATAAAAGTCTTTGTTTCAAGAAAATATTTTCAAAATATTGATTTGGTATCTGTACTTTCAACTTTTGTTCACTTTAATTCTTTTAATTTAAAAAGGTGACCATTTTTGTCTCTTCTTTCTCATTTTTTATCTTGTTAATATCTATCAAAATTTTAGCATGACATTTCACTCACTAAATTTCTTGAAACACAACCGCAAATTTGTATACCAAAATAGTTACTTTTGAAAGTACAAAGACCAAAACAAACATTTTGAAAGTTGATAACGATATTAGTGTGTATTGTTGTTCTCTTTCTTTGGCTTTGTTTCCTTATTTAGTTTAGGTAAATGTGAAATTGTTTTGTATATATGTATCATTTGAATCAATGAAAATCCAAGGAAAAATTATCCCCAATTTATCATGGTATCAGAACACCAGGTATTTTGTGGTTCTCATTTTACCGATGAGTCTCTACGTTTAGGTTGGTGAAAGATTTCGTGGTCTCTTATGCCAGAAAATCAAGTTCTTAGTCTTTCCTACCAAAAAATCGAGTTCCGTGGTCTTTGTTTAGCATAGTGATTTTGCTCCCGATTGCACCACCTGCCAGTCGTTGATTACGCCACCACGTATCAGATTGTCGAAGTTTCTGTAGATCAGTTCGTTGCTGTTTACTTCCGCCCAGCGTTTCTGTCAATCGCTTTGTAGATCTGTCAATCCTCACTGCAAATCTATCTGTTGAGGCCCGTTGCTTCATTCATCGCTTCACCACTCGTTGCCCGTTGCAACATATGTTCGTGGATAGTCTGGTGCCTTGTTCTCTCGCTGCATCGTTCGTGGCAAAAAAATCCACTGCTGCACAACCCGCTCACTGTACTGCTGGCCGCTGCACTACCTGCCGATTGCTACAGCCGGCCACTACACCTGCCGATTGTTGTTTTAAGTCTCGTCGCCTAAGGTTGCTACTACAATCTGTAACTTTGGGTGCTACTAGGGTTTTGTTTGAAGTTCCAATTCAGTTTGCCAGTCCAGTTTAGTTCACTTTGACTTGCCAGTCCGAGTTGGTTCGTTTGGTTTAGCCGGTTCGAATCACCACTGTTTGGTTTGACTTGTTTTGATTCACCCTATTTCAGTTTAGTTTCAGTTTCATCAT